CAACGCGCCTGACTATGAAGCAGTGGGGCTCAGTGGCAATATTTACATTCGTCCTTATTTTTTCTCCTTGTTTAATCAAAGTCCCAACATCCTTCCTTGCTAGTTACTACGATGCTTTTTTTTTTTTTTTTTTACAATTCATTTGTTTGTTCCCATAAATTAACATTATTATTATAGGATTAAATTATCCATTATACATTAAATTTTATGTACAGAGGAAAGTACAAATCAATTACAACCTAATTAGGTACTATAAATAATTAAACAAAAATTAACTATTTTCTATATTACACATGTTAGGTTCTATTTCATGCGCAGTGATACCTTATTTATTGGAGACAATTGTGAATTTATGAGTTGTAATATGTTTAAATTTCATTGCATTATTTGATCAGGTTTGAAACTATTCTACGTTTTATCCAAATTAGCCCACGAATCGAGTTGACTCACTATAGCCCTTTCCTATTATGAGCAGATTAACTTTGTGCTAAAAACACTTTCTCCTCTAACATATTATTATTTTTTGTTGCACTTTCTCCCTTTGACTAATTGATTTGAGCGAATAATTTAGCAAAAAAGACATTAGTGACCTCAAAATAACAATTAGTAGAAACAATATTCAAAAAGAAGATCTTCTGTTTTTTTTTTTTTTTTTTGGGCTTCCAGAGAGTGTTCTTAAAAATGGGATCCAACTATTTAAGAAAATCACATGCCCTTGAACTATATTGTAGGATATAAAACAAAATAATTTCATCATCAAACAATTGCTAAAAAAAATACATATGTATGAGATATATCTTACAACCTTTGTATCTTACCTCCATTTATTGATATTTATAATTTAAAGAGGAATTTTTTTTAACAATAGAAAAGTTTCAAATTTACTTTTTAATAAAAACGGAATATAGTTGGATCTTAGTTCTTGATTTCCAAAAACCAAAAAAAAATTTTATGGCTAGAAATGGATGGCATGAAAAGCTTGGGTAGGAAAAACAGAACAGAAGAAAATGAAGGCGGTATTAAAACTTTTGACATTTTTTAACTAGTAAAATCTAATGTGAATTAACAAAGAGTAAGCTGCAAAAATGAGAGCGTTTGGATAGTAGATTATTTGGAATAATTTTTTTAAAAAATAAAATATTATAGCACCTTTTTATGTGATCTATATGAGATAAAAAATAATTAAAAAATATGTTAATGACGAAAGCAAATAAAATTTAACAAATAATTTACTAGTCAAACAAAATGATAACACGCAAATGACACCAAACATTAGGGAGCTTAGTGCCCTTAACCCATTTAATTTTTCAGTTCAACGTTTTTGCCAACGTACTCCGTCCGGCAAATAGCTGAGATGTCCCTAATAATTGCACTTGATAGTTATTTTATATTTCAAATCGGTACCTTCTTATATTTTATTGTATTTATTTTCATACCCCCTCCACTACCAGTAATTTTTTTTATTATTTACTATTACTTTTCCGTCTTTATTGTTTCATGCTTGGAATCCAATTAATCCCCCAATGGCTGCGCGTGTGGGTCTTCTATCATGCTTTGTGCATTTTGTATCACAAACTCCAATTGCATTAATAATTTACCGTACGTGTCCATTTCTCGTTTCAACGGACTTCTTTTATCTACCATACGTAGAGTCAGACGGTACCCACAGTAGTCGAATCCAGTGAAACACCACCGTTTTGATTAACTATTTTTTGAATATTTTTAAAAAATTTTACAATAACAGTATGTATGAAAAATTTTTACTATAAAATTTTTTTAAAAATTTTGATATATTGTATGGATGAGATGTTTTTTGAGTTATTATATATTACTGTAATATTGTATTTAAAAACTTATTTTTTAAAAAAAATGATCAATCCAACCACTCTTTGTGCTCGTACATCTCTATGCCAAAATTAGTGTTGCACTCGAAACACCTTTGCGGCATCACAGACACTTAACATTTTCCTATAATTAATGGCACATTGTTGTCTCTGCTGTGTCATCAGTGCCGGGGTAAGTTAGTGGCTGTAGGTTTTCTTTGGAATAGGTTAACTTAGTTAAAAAGAGACGAGGAGATCAACAACTATTGGGATACGAAATCTAAGCAAGTCCCCAACTTCTAAAAGTTCGTCCGAATTGTTATTTTTAAGAGTTTTTGTTGAAAAAATATAATGTAATGATTTGATATATATGAAATAAAAAAGTGATTGAAAAATATGTTCGAGAAGAACGTAAAATTTTTTCTGTAAAAGACAGCAATCCAGCTTCTTACCTAAATATATCAGACGCATGTCTTAGCTCAGCTCTCAGGTGCGAGTTTTACAGTATACAAAAATTACTTAAGTTAGAAAATGGAAGAGATGTGGATTCTTCTCTTAGCTGCATGTCCTTGTCCTTGTCCTTGATAATGAGGGTGTGACTCACCGCATTAAGCCTAGCTAATTTTTCGTCTCTCTGCATTTGGAGGCAATACATGAATCTGAAGTTTTTCCTCAAAATAAAAAAAAAAAAAATTTTTTTTTTTTTTTGAGCAAAAGTTTTTCCACGTATTGGATGTGTCATTTCTGACTCATAAAGAAGATTTCGCTGATGAATTTGGTCCTCAATTTCAACTTTATCATGCTTTTGCCTTACCTATTCGACCGACCATTGCTGTAGCTCCCCTGTGTTTTCTTTCGCGAAGATGATACTGAATATTGAAAAGGGGGCTGTGACCTCTGGTTAATTATCACCAAAAGCATATAATTTGATGACAAATTAGTATTATTAATTCTAACCCACTTACAATAATACCTCATTGGCTGGCTAAAATTTGCATACAAACAAAATAATAAAAAATTTTCATAGGCCAAGCAATGCCAGAAACCCTACATCGAGCTAAGACATGCAGACGAGACAATTGGGCTGAGATGTTACAGACGTGGAGTTTTATATATAAACATGTGGATAGTACAATAAAGAGGCAGAATATACAGAAGAGATTGAATCATGCAATGAGGACAGGAAAGCTGATAAAGACGGATGATATCGATGTGGGGTGGTCGAGGCGAAACTAGAATTTCAGAATTCAATTGACTGACGTATATATTACGTGCAGTGCAGGAATTGATGGGACTTAGAGAGATTGGCTGGTTGATGTTTCTATGCAAAGTTTGCACCATGCCACGATTGAACCTCCGGCAAATTTCTCCCTCTCCATGGAAAACACGGAGTTGTGGTCCGCTCCTCCTATGTAGGGTACGGCGACCTTTTAGGCAATCAGAGTTCGAGTCTCGCTGTTAACGCGCGTTCGGGAGATGGAATCTCTCTACCCGGATCGAAATGGGATTAGTCGGGCCCCGTAAGAATTGATCCGAACACTCACTTCATCAAAAAAAAAAAAAAAAAAAGTGGTAATTCTAAATCTTTCCGACCATTTATCATATTCCTCCATTGAAATTGTGGTTTGGGACTCTTTGGCACGTACTAATATTCATCCCTCTCGACTTCTTGAAACTAATTACGTCCTGTGCCTTTCGTTTCTCCCCTTTTAGTTGAAATTGAGGAAAATAGCTCAGAAGATTCCCAGCTGCAGCACCCATATTTGTCATTTACAGGATTTTTCATGGTGTCAAAAAAAAAATGAACCTTGATATTAATTAGGTGCAAATTACACATTTTAGATACTGACTGTTGTACTAATTCGAAAAGAACAAAATATTAATTGGAAAAATCCCCTCCTCCAGCTCAAGCACACCTGCAATCCCACGTCAGTGAAAAGGACTGCTGATTTTGGCCCTCAGGGATGAAGTAGTAATTTTGTGGAAGTACCTAACCAGTACTCTTACCAACTTCTTCTTCTAGGGTAGGGTATGGAGGGTGGGAACGGGGAGATGTGTTTTCGATCCTGATCTTCCCTACTTAAAGTTGCTAGTAAGTTTTCATCAATCTTGGACCGAAACGAAATCTAGTAGCTTGAGGTTGAAATCAACTCCAGCACCATGATTTGTTAAGTTATAGACCCCACAAGCTAGCCACAGCTAGTTAGGTTTTTCTTTTCTTTTTTCTTTTTTTTTTGTCGTCGCAACGATAATGTAACATTAGTATATCCTATTCTAATCTAATCTAGGAAGAGATAGTGACATATTTAGTAAAAATCACAATTAAGTGACAATATGGGAGGTCAAGGGTCCTCTTTTAAGTGGCAAGGTGGGAGCTATAGCCTTGGGGATGACCCAATAGCCCAAAAAGCTGTTGACAGCAACAACTAGTTAGGTGACGAGCACCATATATAGAATTGCTTAATCTACATTTAGCACCATATTGACATTCTGTAAATCTTCAGGAGACTTTCAACACTCTTGCTGTCTCTCTCATTTAACATCCAGGACCTAGCTTATGCCTGCCTAGTCCTTTGGAGAATTTTGGACCTATGGTCACAAAATTTCCTATATGATCAATCAGGCTTCGTGCATAAATTTGGTTAAGAAATTGAACTTACAACCAAATTTTCGTAAAATCAGACAAGGTTTTTTTTTAAAAAAAAAAAAAAAAAAGTGCATATGGAAGTGTACATGTTCTTCAACTTGTGGAGCCAGCCAGCAAGTTGGATCAATTATTCTCTGACGAGGCAAAAGTACCATCTCCACATGCGTGTACGTTTAACACTAACGTGTAAGCAAATGGGTACAACTCCCACGAAAAACTAGAAATAATTTTCATGCAATTTGATGGTTGAACGGTGGCTAGCTCACTGTTACCATCAAGCATCTACCAAGAATCTGCAGCAGTATTGGCTGCCCTTCAATTTTCATGAAGAAGTCTGTCAAATGCCTTTGAAGTTTGGGCAGGGCAAGCAATAAAAGATCGTGAAGAAAGTACTTTACCTGTTCGGATAGCTTGGAATCCAATCACAAGCGTTTCCAACAAAACCTGGGCAACATCAACAGGATTTTGTGAAGCTACTTGCTACCTCATCGAATTGGGTAGGGGAATTTGAGTATTCATACTCTAAAAGGTTGCGTCGTCTAACTAATGATTTGAAATATAGCTGGCAAAATTTCTTATTCAGCGCCTTCACAGACAAACATATAGAACCGCACCTATACACAGGAGCTTCCCTTGTCACGGCCCAGGTGTTGCCCTGAATTTTGTATTTATAAAGCACAACACCATCTATAGGGAGGAAAAGAAAAGGCAAAACAGTCTTGCCAAAATTAACAAATAACACATCCATTTGGATACTCTTCCACGCTGTGGTTAGGGTGATAATAGGTCTGCATTGGAGGGTAATATGGCCGATATGGCATTACTGAGCTCTGCATCGGAGGGTAATATGGCCGATACGGCATTACTGGAACTTGCACTGGGACTGGAACTTGAACCTGAACTGGCGCTGGTTCTGGAGCTTGTTTCTCTTCATCTTTCTTGGGTTCCTCCTTTTTTGGTTCGTCCTTCTTGGACTCTTCTTTCTTTGGCTCCTCTTTGGCTTCCTCTTTCTTAGCTTCTTCCTTCTTTGGCTCCTCCTTTTTCTCAGGCTCTTTAGCGGGACCAACTGCGATTATATCTGTTGGCCAAAATTTGCGCAATTTGCTCGCCACGTCAACTGGATCAACTGTTCCAATTATTGTTAGTTTCTTGCCCTTGAGATCAATGGTCATCTCATTAATCCCTGCAAAAATTGCAGTTGGAAAACTAATTATTGAGTAAGCATCGTGCCCTTCTATGCAGTATAACAGTAAACATTCACTAGACTTATTTCAGATGAAAAAAGGAGAGCAAATCACTGCAAGATTATCTTCTGCGACACACAAAAAGAAAAGAAAGCTCTCTGTCTTTTTCCTGAGCATTCATAGCCGTTGCAGAAGAATTTACTTGCACGTAGGCATAAGAACCAAAGGCAGATTGGTTTAATTTTGGGGCGTAAAACAGGGGCCAGTTTAGGTGCAAGTCCGTTTCAAGAACTCGTTCTTCTTGGCTTACAATAAACCAGCAGGATCATTAATGCCACATAACAATTCATAAGATGTCAAGCAAAAATCCTATTGCTGAAGGTCACTTCAATACAGAGCACCTAGAACAAGTAAAGATTCAACCTTTTCCCAATATTCTTGGGAGCAAAAGAATAATCCTTCCCCAATTAATACGTTCTTTAGTTGCTTACTCAGTGCAATTGAAGGCAAAAGGGAGCATCAACTGTTCTAATCTTCTTGTTTGCAATGGAAAAAACAAATAGGAAAACGCAAAATTTGTGGAAAAGGGATAGCAAAAAAAATGCATATTCCCATTATTGTTCACAAAAGAACCTAGACACTCCCAATCCCAAAAGGAACTGCCATGTTACACCAAAATCACATTCCCACAAAAAATAAATAAATAAATAAAAAATAACGATGCCTAGAATTAAACCAGTTGTTTGATGATTTTGACGAACTTAAAAAAAAAAAAAATTTTGAAGATCCAACTTTCCGGCAAAGTTACTACTTTAATATCTGACATTTAATTTTTTTTTCCCAACAAAAAATGTGATTAAGAGAAAATTTTAATGCAGTAACATGCATAGTAAGCTGCATAGCTCTCAATATAAACGGGGATTAGAATATGATACCAGTCACTGGACTACAGCATGAACTTAATTCAGATGATTGGTCAAAGAAGCAAATAAAACATATGTGGATCCGACCTTTGCAACTCCAAAACTGCAATCAAGTTTTTCCAACATTATAAATAGTTACTTCTTTAAAAAAAAAAAATTATATATCGGCTCGACAACATTATATGTATGTACGTAGGTATCTCTGTGCGTGTGTGTGTAGACACACACATAAAAACTAGTATAAAGAACTAATAAGTTATTTTCCATTCTCCCAACAGTAGTATTAACCAATCCAGGATGCCCTGTTTACCAGTATTGTTTAGTTTGAGAGACGACACTTAAAATTTTTTTGAAAAAAAAAAATTAAAGCTTTGCAATCATTTTCTTCATTTTATCCTTTATTCCTCGTTTGAATACATTTCTAAGTTAGTTTGTCAAACAAAAAGGGAAAAAATGAATTCTTAATAATCCACAAAACATCAGCAAACGTAAAAGCAGCCCATTACCTTGAAGGGCAGCGACTGTCTTCAAAGCCTTTCGCTTCTCTTTGTCATCATGCAAGTCCAGTCCGAAGATAAACTTCTGTAAAACGAGATTCCATGAATTAAAGTTCAACAATAGATCAGATTTCTAAAACCACGGATTCAATTCAGCTAAGTTTAATACAAGTTAACCACAAAAAATTAATAATAAAAAAGAAAACTCTCTGCTCAGTTCAATCTGATGAATAAAAGGACTAAATATACCCTATTTGACATTTTTATTTTAGTAGTATGTCATTCATGTGCATTCTTTCTAAAGAACAATCTGCTACTTTTGAGAGACCTTAAAAGTAGCCAAACTTTTGAAAAGAAAAAGCAAAAGGTGAGGGGCGGTGTAGGAAGATAAAAGCAATCAATTTCTCTGCAAGATCAAATGATGAAGGAATCAAGTGAAACCCAAGATTCTCATGCAGCTTTGAATGAAAGGAACATTAAAATAAAATAAAATAAAATAAACCACCAAAGAAATCCCAGAAAGGATTTGACAAAGCTAAATAGAATCAGAATCAGAATCAGAATCAGAATGAAGAACCAGACCTTCATCTGTTAGAAGTATGAATTAGGAGGGACTTTGACAGTGAGCTGGGAAAATCAATCTGGAATGAAGAATCCAATCAAGAATATAGTTATAGGAAGCAATATAGCTGGCAATGGGGGGGAGAGAGAGAGTGGAATTGGTGAGGTAGATTGAGGGAAAATGAAGATACAGAGACAAGAGACAGAAACAGAAATGATTCTCTTTTTGAAAAAAGATGGAGAGGAGATAGATGGGATGGGTGTTTTTGTTAAGTTATATGTGTGTGTGTGTGTGTGTGTGTGTGTATATATATATATATATATATTTTTTTTGGGTGACAAACTAAAAAATGAAAAGAAAAAACCACCCAAGAAAATCCGAATCAAAACCAAATGGTGCAGAAGAAGAGAGAGAAAAAGAAAACTTGAGCTCAACGCCCCAATAATACTTACGTAGAATAAATAATAATACTATAATAAAAGAAAGAATGGAAGAAGATGGGGATTGGCATGGAGTCAGTGGATGGGGAGGCTTTCAGAGGGAAATCAGAAATTGGCAATGGAATCAGCGCAGACGTGCAAATTCGGAAGAAAAGCGACGCAACTCAGCTCAAGTGGCAGTCAATTTTTTATCGGAGGTTGATTCTGTAATTAGCTCGTGGTTGGCCTTTTTTATTATTATTATTTTTTTGAAGCACGGTTCAGGGTTGGTTAACTGGAGTAAAAGTATCGCTTTCGCCTTGTACGACTTGCTACTACGGCTTCGGTTTGATGGACCACCACCCATGTTAAAGAGCGTGCCTCGCGTGGAAATAAAAATTAGTACTGTACTATTTTGGTAGTTTCTTATTTGTAAAAATTATCTTTTTTTTTTTGTCTCCACATCATAAAGAATACTATATTATTTTTATTAAAAAAAATGTCCAAACAGTCTCCTGTCCGAGCACAATAATTCACCATGGAGACATGAGTAAACCCAATACTGATTTTGTTCATTATACAAGTGTGCTTTTACGGAATACCATTTAAATTTTTTTTAAAAAAATATTGTAACATTTCTTTGTGTAATATCATGCATGTTAGGTAAAAAGATAATTGATAAATATATTTCAGGTAAAAAAAATTTGATAAACATGTTTCTGAGGATCCTACGTTATTGATAAACACACTCAAGTAAAAATTAATTGTATAGGATATTATTTGAAATATTATTTATAACAATTATTATACCACTTTTTTATTATGTGATGTATGTAAGATTTAAAAAAAAAATTATTGGAGAGATAAAAAAAATTGATTAAAATTTATAATTATGATGCAAGCAAAACAATGTTTGAAAAAAAATTTACTATTTGAATGCACTGCTTGCATGTGAAAACTCAAAGATCTCATGTTGAGAATCCATGCACAATAAATGCACACGCAGAGTATAGATTAGACACAAAAATTTATCAACAATTTATTTTATCCAAACCCATATTGAAATCCTTGAATTAGACCGTTTAACCCAATTAAGAATCTGACCAGTAGTTCTTCTTGGCACAAAAAAGGTAGACTCCAGTTACTTTTACTGTCAGAGAATGTGACTAGTAAATATTTTGATAATTTACAAAACAAAGATAGATCAAACATGGTCAATATCTAATAATTGAATCCAATTGTAGCACTGGGGTGGTTAATGGTTCTGGTTGTGAAAAATAATAATATACTTATGTAAGAAGCAAAATGATACAAATAATTCAACCTGGACATTAGTGGTTTGACACCTAACTTTTTTTTTTTTTTTTTTTGGGTGTGGAAACGAGGAGAACCACTAATCACTCTTCCAATCCGATTTCTTTTGTTTTTTCAAATCTAACTTCATTAGCCATTGAAGGTGAATATCTTTCCTCAATGGGGTTCACGTTGAATATTTTCCACCCGGGGGGAAAAAAAGAAAAGAAAAGAAAAGAAAAGAGAAGAGAAGAGAAGGAAAGGAGCAAGTGGAATTAAGTACTGCTATGTCATTTTGAAAGAGCGTCACGCGCGTTGATGTTGGAGAGTGAAGTGGCCGCCTGGGTAGATGGGTGGAGCCCACTACTCTTGAAAGTCAGAACAGACTCCCGCTGAATTTTTACATTTCCGGCGGCTAAGTGTTGCCGCCAATGCTGACACCTCTCTCATTCTCACCGCAAAGGGCTAAAAGTAGTAATCATGCGACTATCTGATTCTTGATTGACAACACTTTTTTCTTTTTTACTTTTTTTTGTCAGTAAATTTTAAAATATTTCGTTTATAATCTCTTTCACTTTACCACTCAAATTACAAAATAAAAATTAATAAATTGAAACCATATATTTTATAAAACTATCTAACTTTGGATCACTATGTGTGACTGTCACTTTAAGTGGTTTAAATCCATACGGGGTGCATGGTACATCTGTCTGATGCGATGTTAGTTCAGTTTCTGTCAATTGTCGATTCTCCGGTGATTCAATTGGAGCCTCCCTTTAGTATAGTCTAGAATAGTCTGATTCGATAGTAGTTTAGTCCCTATCGATTCTCCCGTAACCCAATTGGACCCTCCCACTAGTATAGTTTAGAGTAAACAAGTGTCGAATTAATCAAAAAAAAAAAAGAAAAAGAAAAAGAATGCCTGTTGAGGATGTCTTCAGACAATTTAAAAATGAAAACAAATTGTATAACACCGAAAGGTCAGCTATTTTAGTATGATAGACAAGGTGCATGTTGCTTTCCTCTGAGCATATCTACAGCTTCAATTTTCTACTTCCGAAAGTAAATTACATTACCGTCACCTTATAGTTCTTACAATAACATATTCTATTCAACATTTTTAGAATGAATTAAACAAGATTTTTGTTCATCTTCAGAAAACATGATACCATTGGCAGTTCCAATCCTTCTACATTTTTCTATGCTCATTTAAAAAAAAAAAAGGGAGAAAAGAAAAGATTGAAAGAACAACATGCAAATTCGTTTTATTCGATCTTATGAGGTCAGGAGTCACGACATTCGGCCCCACTACGTAGGTAGGACGCAGTACTCATTTTTTGTATTCAACGAATGATGTTATATTTTAATGAAACGTGGACTGCGGGCTCCATGCCCTTTTGAACAGAAGATGCCACCGGAATCATACATTAAGCTTTGTGAAAAAGATGCACTACTAGTACGGTAGTATTTCCTTTTGTTTCCAAAAAAAAAAAAAACTAGTATTTACTTTAATTTATGATGGATTTCTAATACGTGTGGTTAGAAGCATGCCATACACTTATTTTAATATCTCATTTTCAATTAATAAATATTAACCTTAAATGATTTTTAACTAATTAACTCATAAAATGGTTATACCTAACCACGAAGGGCAGCGTGTTGGCGGGGATGGGAACCTTTCTCCCTTTCTCATTTAGTATTGAACGGTCGTTACAACTCTTAATTAATGACTTGGGTTGTTTCTTTCGTCGACGATGAAACTTATCCTCCGTCATCGTATCTGTCATATCTAATAGTATTTAGAGTTTGTCACGAAATCCCAACTTAATAATTGATGGAATGCTGAGTAATTCGAATTGTTTTGGAATGATATTCAAGAAAAAAATATTCTAGAAAATTTCATAGAATTAGAGCAACTTTTCGTTTTGGACGAATTTAACGAGGAATACTTTGAACTAGAATCATGAATTGGATGCGAGCCAATACCTCCGTGCGACTTTCCCCTTTTAGTTGATCAATGATAGGAAGATCCCGATGTACGTGAATAAAGGAAAGGTTCCATTATCTATTTTTTAATAACTCTTCTCTTTAGTGGAATCATTTTCTCGCCAGAGAGGTTACGAGAAGAATTATAAGGCCTTGTTTGGATTGCTTGTTTCTGTCGAAAAATATTATCGTTTTCTGCGATCACATTTTTCTATCACTTTTTTCCCTCACATATATCAAATCGCTATAGTAATTTTTCCATGAAAAATGACGGAAAATGCAATCCAAACACAACCTAAAGCTATCCGGTACAACTCCTTGGTAACTTAGAATCGTGAAACTTGACATCCTTATCAACAAATGCAAAATAGGGCTGGTAGAAAAGTTTGCATGCAATTGGACAAACTACATTTTCCAGTGTTTGTGTCAAGTGTCTAATTATGTGGTCCATGGAGATCAGGACCACTATATTCGAAGCATCTGCTGCTAAAAACCATTTCCGTGGTTATAATCATCCATCATGGTGTGGTAAAATACCAGAACGTACGAGAACATGGATCGTGTATTGCGGCTACTGCCAACATCAACTTTTGTAGAGCTCAAAATACTCGTTTGTTTTTTTTTTTCCTTTTCTTTTTGTTGTCAATTGACACTTATGTTTCCTATCAAAATATTCGTTTGTTGATAGAAAGGTTTTTGGCATCTTCGTGAAAAAAAAAATCATATTCATAAATTTATTTGAGATAATTACTGTAGTATTTTTTGTAATCTGATGTATGCGAAATGAAAATGCGATTGAAATTTATGAAATAAATTATTTTACTTGAAATTATCTCAATCCAAACAAACCCGATCAATAGTCGTTTTGATTAAGTTACCATCATCAATGGTCGTTTGTCTAATTGCTATTATATCTTGAACCTTTAATTCATTTTCGAGAGAAGTTCGTGCAACCCCTTCTCTTTGGATGGATGGATTTATCAACAAGCGACTACTACTCGCAATGGGATCAGACGCATACTTTTCTTCTTAAATTTAAGATGACCGACTAAACCTCCCCAATTTAACCAACTCCCATTAACAAACAAACAAGCGAGATACGACTTCACCGTTCTCACAAATCGTCGTGGTATGGTTTCCCCGGTCCGCCGGCTGATTGCTGGTGCAGGAATGGTGATGGATCAAGAGCAAAGGGTGAAAAAGTAGCCGGCCTTTGCTTTGCAGCCACTGGCGATGGGGCACACAACCACTGATGTATCTGTCTGCGGTTCATATAATTTCATGTACCAATTGTTTTGTAGGCCCTAAATCAAAAATAAATTGGTCCTCACCAATATTTTACAAGTACAGTTCGCCGGATTCGTCAAATACTACGAGGCCTTTTCCCTTTGTACTTTAACAATTAAGTGGATTCTCTTGAGCGGAAAATAATGACCGCAGGACAGCCGATAAAATTGGGACGATACAGATAAGATTAGCATGCATGGGCAATGGGCATGGCCCCTGCACAAGGATGACGCGCACAAATCGAGAAATGGAAAATCAACCCATCCATTTGATCAGACAATATCAACTTATTTTGTGGAAATTCTTTTTCAGAGAGCTGATATTCTTTATTCTCTTTTAAAACAAAGGCAAAGAACTTTAAGAAGAGGGGCCGTGCGTGCATCTTTCAAGTTTCAAGAAGAATGTGTGAAAGGTTTGAAGGATCATTGCGATTAGAGGTGTCAAAATGGGTGATGTGGACGGGTTTGGGTTAG